TTTTTTTTTTTTTCTTTCTTCTCCTGTAAATCATGAGTTAAACTCTTTCTCACCATCACCTTTTATTCTTCATGGCTCGAACATTTTTTATTCCACTGGTTCTTTACTTTGATGGTTCTTTATATGTAAGCATTCCTAAAATGCTCTTGACAAAACGGTTTAAACCAATGGTCGTCACAGCTACACCCTTCTGACCATTAAAGTCAAATTTTATGTTGGAATTTATCAATCCGGTGCATGTTGATACAATGGTTTACTTCAATTGGGAAAAAATAGTTGTGATTGATCCAAATGTTAGATTTATGATAAAATTGCTTACATTTCAAGGTAAGCAAATAATTGGTGTATTGATCCTGCCAACTTTTATCTTAAATAGCTATTAGTGTAGCTAAGAGTTCAATAGCTCTAGGAAATTTCAGCTGTGATTGATCCTGCTAAGTTGTTGGAGATTTATGTTTTCATCTTGTTTCCCTTTTCAGTGGATATGTGGGAAATTCTGTGTGCTAAGTGTATGTAGCGTGTTACCTAGAAAAGGATTTTTGTTTCTTTTCATATTTTTATATTCTTGTGTGGTTTGATGAACTTATAGATGCATGAAGTGCTGCCTATTTAAGTAATTATAGGCTACTATGATTTGTTTCTTAAACTAATGAAAACTGTGAAAAGTAAGGTGGCATTTAGAAATGTAAGTAGCTCCAGTCGATCAGTACGATTGTTTTGAGTAAATCGTTACTATGTGTTAGTTGTTCATTCGTTAACCTTTTGAGGGACAAAATATTGCTTGCTACTAGAGCTTTCAGTATTAAAATAAGCAGATACTTTTGTCCTGATTTTACAGCTCATTTGAAAAGTACTTTGCATATGCGAAGTGCTACTTCTTTTCGCCATAATGGTGGAGATTGACATGTTTTGATTGCTCTGAAGTTGTTTCACCGACATGTTCGATCCGATTTATCCATATCCAGAATCATATGTTTATTAATGTACGACTCTATACTCGTGGGCAGAGTTCTGTTTATGCTGCTAACATCTTTAAAACTGAGGAACAAAAGGCAAGTAAGTTCTTGGAACCTTTTTGATAAGGCTATGTACAAAATGTTTCTTAAATGTTCGAATGGAAAAAAAAAAGGGCTTATTTCTTTCAGAATTCAACTGCAAAATGAGCTTCCATAATCATGTTCTCATTTCAGATATGCGGGAAGTGTAAATCGAGAAACTCGCGCAAACATATGCTAATAAGGGATGGAATAAATCTATCCATCTGAGTTTGGTTAAAGTGATCCAAGTCCTCGTCATGTATGCCACGGGATTGGCTCCAATATAGAGTCAATTGCTGAAAGATAGTAAGTCTTAGTAAGCTTCCCCCGAGTACTAAAGATATATAATCGGGTAATTTTTTTTTGTTAGTTTACGGAATTGTGCATTCATTTTGGAAGTCTCCACGTTAAAACCCCCCATGAGTGCAGTGCCAAGTTTGAAAACCACAGCTTGTTTCATTTGAAATATTCATGTGAAAAGCTGATAGTTCAGTTTTTTATATGTTTGAAAAGGGTAAATGGTGGGCACTCATATTTGGCTTGGGGTCATAGGATTCTTTGCAAATTTGATCACTATCTAAAAAGTGTGTGTATTCAAATACTATACCCTATAAACTATCATATTCATGTCATATTACCTTTGTTTCTAGTGGATAATGTAGTTGGAGCATAGTTTTTAAACCCGGCCCGGTAATCGACTCGGACAGGTCTCCGGGTCATCGGGTCACCAGTTCAACCGTCGGGTCACATGTCAATTGCTGAACCGGATAATTAATTTTAAACTTTCTAAAATTATATATAGAGTATTTTTGTCGTATAAATATACATAAAAGTAACAAAACTAAATGTTTTGTGTATAAAAATTGTACATTTAAGTGTTAATAATATGTATCTCATGAGAATATTTACCATATAATTTCGCTCCTCTCCCGCCTCTATCATACTATACAAACTTTTCGAAACGAAGTTCAGTCAAAAGTTGGAATAAGGTATGCCAACCGAAGGAGAGAAGAGGGCAACTCCAAGATAGATGGGATTCTCTGCAACTAAACATTTATACATAGTTTTATTTTGAAAAAAAATAAAAAAAATAATAAAAAAAAATATGGGCCGGGTCAATAAGGCCGGGTTTTGACCGAGTTTGACCTGGTCTTTTGTTGCCCACCCGGACCGATTCCGGCTCCGGGTTGATCGGGTTCCTGGTCGGTCCGGGTAAAAAAACTATGAGTTGGAGGGAAATTAATTTTTCAATTTCAATTTTCACCTCTGATTGTCGATTGATCATCTTCCAAAAGAATCAACGGTTGGATTATGATTGCCAAGAAAAATAGTAGAAGATTTTCTTTTCATTTTGGGTAAAAACTGTTGTATTTTAATGAAAATATGATCATAGTAAAGAAAAAAAAAATAAAAAAAAATCCAATATCTTGGTGACATAATAGTCTTTATTCCATTGTACTCTGCACAAAAAAAGCAGTGAGGATCATAAAAGTGCGAAAGTGAAGTATGAAGTGGTCCACCATTGTTGATTGAGATGCGAGGCCCTTGACCATTTCCTCTAGTGTTATAAATTTCTTTAAATAAATAATAATATTAATAATAATAATAATAATAATAATAATAATAATAATAATAATAATAAGTAAATGTAAATATAAGTTATATTTTAAAATTTATTTCTTTTTTACATATTATTAATTTTCTACTCAGATTAATCATTTTTTTTTTTTTCACAGCCTTCAATTTGACATCTACTGCATATATGAACTAAAAAATAATTGCATACTGATACAATTTAATAAGTTAAAAACCAATCCATGGAAAAAAAAAAAAACTTTAATAATTTGTGCTTCTTTCAATTTTTGGCACAGGAAACTGATATTATAAAAGAAAATCACTTTTGCTTGGAAAATTTGTGAAGAATCATTGCATGCCAGAAAGGTGCAGGGGATCATATGCCGTGTGGGCCCACTGGCGGTGGCCCTCGCCGCATGGGGCGGCCGGAGGTGGCGCCCGCCGTTGCCGGCTGACGTTGGAGAAGGCACGCCTCTTGTGGGGCCCAGCATCCACTTACTCGTGGTACCACCACCCAAGTTCCCAACGAGGTGAATTTGTGCGTGAGAAAAAAAAATGGGTGGAAATCTTGAAATGCCTAAAATGGCCTCCAAATGACTACTTGATTTCTATCGACGTTTATTCAACCTGATTGAATGGGACACTTTAAATGGGACACTTATCCTAATAAATATTAGAGAGATGCTACGGTTCCGTTACGGAATCATTCTGTTGGGGTTTGCAATCGTTAGATCAACTATATCGATGATTACATGATAATCTAACGGGTACAAAGCCAACAATTGGTTCCCTACATATTAAATAAGAAGTTTTCTACCATTGGATGAATAACTACACACATGTTCACACGTACTTTTGTTAATCCAACAACAGAAAAACTCCGATAACTGCACTATTTTAGACAATGCAGTTCTCGAAAGGTTCGAATTCATTCGTTTTGGATAATGTTAATAAAATACAAATGTGTGTTTGTATAAATTTCACTTGGCCACGGAATTTTTGGAAAATGCTACGGTACTGTTACGATACCATCTCGTCGGATGTTTTAACCGTCAGATCCACATATAGTTAGATAAGATAGATGATCTGACAGTTAAAATATCCGACGGGATGGTACCATAATAAGACCGTAGCATTTCCCGAAGTTTTTAAACAGTGGATAAATTATGAGTATGCGATTGTCTGGTTAAAATTAAAGTTATTCTACGTAATGTCTATAAGAGTAGAGTGAGTTCTCCTCGTGTATGTGTTGTAAAAATGAAGCTACATGTTAGACTGGTCAAACTACGATTTTGGCATACATTTCAGTAAATATGTATATCTTATAAAAAATATAAAATACTTTTTAAGAATATTTTTAAGAATAAAATAAATAAAGATAGGATTATATGTTAGGCAAACACAATTTTTTAAAAAATATATGTACTTTTACCAAAAAATACCATACTTTAGAGAACAATATAAACAAAAAAAAAAAATGATTATTCATAGTACAAATATATATTTGCATTCAGGATTAAGGTGGCTATCAAGTGGTTGTTTTTTTTCTTAACAAAATTTATACTTTTAAATTAAAATATACATTTTAATAATTAATATATATGTAATCTAGTTTTTATTAGAAAAAAAAAATATACGTATATATAACGATTAACGAGTCATCATTAGTCAATAAAAGTGATCACATGATACAGTTGCAGGCCACCTGCACCAACCTCCTTCTACTGCCACCACTTTCTCTCTCTACCTCTCCACTCTCTCTCTCTCTCTCTAGCTAGCTAGCTAGCTAGCTCTTCTCATCATTATCTACCCTCTTTTCATCGCATTTCCTACTAAATGCTCAAGCTCAAATCCCTAATTTTTTTCAATTCCCAATAGCGCCGCCGCCGCACAATTCGCACCCATGGCCGATTAGCTACCTGATTTCTCGTCGTTTGTGTGTGTGTGTGTGTGTGATTTTTTTTTTTTTTTTT